GAACCAACTCTGAATTGTTGAGCCAATGTACGTTATGTTTGTGGCTAAGAAGAAACAAGAAACAATGAGAACACAACGAAACACGCAATCTTAGATAGAAACAGCTCTGTGAGAAACCCTCTCTATGCAATTCAGTAAGCTTTTAGAACAAACTGTACTCGTATGAAATGAACACACCCACCCAATATCTGCTAGCTGATTTTGTATTTCCTTTTTTGGTGTTGAATGCTAACCATTATTTACTTCAATTTGTGAAATATTTTTAAATAATTTTATTTCAAATTGTCATTAGTTTCTTGTTTCTTTTTAAGAAAGCATACTTCTTAAACTATAGTAATTGATTCACATAAGAGGGTAAGTAATGCTACAAAATCATAGAAACTTTCTTAAAAATACTAAAATGTGAAGCTATTGTTTCTCGGTATTAGCTCTATCTAGGTCTATACACTTCTCAAGGTGGTGTTTCCATTCCTTTAACCCTCTCCAAAAGGCCAAGGATGGGCAGTGTTTCGTTCTGTTGTGCACAGGGTCGCTAAGAGTTGGTACTGACTTCATGTCACCTAACAACAATGTAACAATCCTTCCCCAAAGAATTCTCTGCTCTTTAATTTACATCACATCAAAATGGCAGTTATAACATTCTTCTGGGACTCAAATTGTATTCATTTGAAATGTTCTTTGAGTTTGGGGTACTAAAAGAAGCCTGAGAGGTAATACTAGGGTTGTAAGGTAGATAGGGGAAGGTTTTCCAATGGAATTCTTATAGAGCAGACCTTGCTACCCTCAAAAAATGAACAGGTACACTGTGGTGATATAAAAAAATTCCTCGGTACAACTTTTCTTAGCAACAGAGTTTTCAGTTTTCTTAAAACCCCTTAATAATAAAGATCTTTTATCGTCCTGTGTCCTTTGAGAAAATATATCAAGATTGTTGTTGTTGTTAAGTGCTATTGAGCTGGTTCTGACTTACAGTGACCCTGCATAGGATTTCACAGGAGCAGCTATTGAGTTTGAACTGTAGATCTTGAGGTTAGCAGTCCAGTGCTTACCCTATTACCCCTATGGAATCCCAAAGCAGCAATCACCTCCGAGTCGACCTCTCTATCTTGAATGTAAGGGGCACAGCAGTCACTGTTTTGATTGGACCTTTTACTGAAGGCTCACTGATGAGACTGAGACAAATGTGTAATGGAGCGAACTTGTCTGCAGGCATACATTGATCACAGAGACATGTTTAAAGATGTTTTTTTTGGAATAAACATGTGTATGTCTGAACTGGAACTCTAGTAACACTGCTTTTTGGCTTAGCCTCATATATTCCATCCATTTTCCAATAAAAAGCATTTATTTAGGGTCCATGATATGTTATTTAGGGCCTCACCCTCCAGCAACTTCTAGTTCCTGGGAAAAATGGAAGGACCAACACACGCCAGAACTTTACATCACCTCACCAAATCCTTACTCTTTAGTCAACCTACGGGATCAGTATAATTCTTCTCATTTTACTGGTGAAAAACAAAATTCCAATTTCTAATTCATTTTAAATCAGAATTTGTCTCTTACTGATTTACTCTGCATATTAGAAACCGAATCATCAGAGATGCATTTTTTTTTTTGTAATTAAAAGAAGTATGTTTTTTCCTGAGTCAGCTTGGACTGAATGAGCATTTTAAGGGACTATTCCTGAGAGTTCAGATCTCAAAATGACCTCAGTTACTCTCACAGAAGTGGGAGAACATGGAGTACTCTAATCTTCATGTCAAGGATCAATTCTATCCCCTCTGTATGTAGGGTTGATAGGGATGGGCAACTTAGACATTGGCTACTTAAAATAGGGGGCTGTAAAGGCATGTAAAGGAGCTCTGGTAGCGTAGTGGTTACGAATCGGGCTGCGAACCTTAAGGTCAGCGGTTCGAAACTACCAGCCGCTCCGCGGGAGAAAGATGAGGCTTTCTACTCCCGTAAAGATTTACACCCTCGGAAACCCTGTACAGGGTCGCTATGGGTCGGACCCGACTCGATGGCACTTAACAACAACAACAAAGGCATGAAGTGACTGGCTTACAAGTTTTCAAGAGAGTTTAGTTTCAGAGTGTGTGGTGGAAGAAAGAGTCCCCACTGAATAGTTTTCATCTTGTCTAGATGGGTCTGGTGGAAACAGATGGGGATAAGATTCTTATGATTCAATAGTGAATAATTTAAATTAAAAAGAACAAAAAAAGTTTTTAAAAACTGCTTTAAGCCCTCCAACACTGAGATACTTTGACTAAGGCCACATTGGCACCTACTATGACATTTCCTAAAGAAAGTCGCTCTCAGAAAAGCTCACACTCAGAAGAGCCTCTGACGGTCCTTTCCCAGTTTACTCAGCACTGGCTTGCATTAGTCTTTGTGCTGGCCAGAAGACGGAGCCGATGGAAAAAAGAAAGATGATTGTTCAAAAATAAAAAGGTTGACAAAGGAGAGATTGCTCTAAATTATCACAAGAGCATTAGCAAAGAAGCAGGACAGGGGAGCAGAAAAATGAAAGATGTCACGTGTGAATAGGAAAAAATTGCGTACAAGAAATGCCACACTATTTGTCAAGGCTACTTCCAAACACATCTTTCAGGAAGGGTCATGTTTTCCATGACACCCTTCACAGTGAGGTTCTCATGAAGCAAAGCATGTAGCGACCGGCCACACGAGGTAGTACGTAACCCTCAGTCAAGAGGTGTCAACCACTTACCATAGGTGGTTTCGTGGTGCTTCAGTTCTCTTCTCAGCTTGTTGTAATCTTCTTTAATAGTTTCCAACTTTCTGATGTTTCCGGAACTCAGTACCAACAGCTTGTTGAGTAGTTCGTCCAGCCCTTCTCTCTCTGAGGCTAATGACCAGATCTCCTCTGTGAGGTCCTTGGCTGTACAGAAATGACTTCCTACAGTACATTGTGGGAGAGAAGGGTGGAAAACAAGCTTTAGAGCATCCACAGATATGAAATTCAGCAGCAGCTAATATAAATGGATTGGCAAAGTGGCAGCATCAATGGTCTCAAGTGTGGCAATAATTGTGAGGTTGGCCCAGGATCAGACAGTGTTTCGTTCTATTGTGCATAGAGCCGCTATGAGTCAATACTGACTCAACACACCTAACAACAACAATGTAAACTAGGGAGTCCTGGTGTGGTGCTGTAGGTAAATGCACCAGACTGTATAACCCTTTGAAACTGTAAGGTCAGTGGTTCAAGCTCACCAGCTGCTCCTTGGGAACCCTATGCAGGGTCGCTCTGGGTTGGAACCAACTCGATGGCACTTAACAACAACAACAACAATGTAAACTAATAGACTGAATAAAATGGGACTAAACTTTGCAATCACATAAGACTTCTTTCTCAACCCTCTGTTGAGGGGACATAGAAGAACACTGACCAACCTTCTTAATCTAGAAAAAACATCAGTCTCTTCATCGCTTTCTTCCTATTATCTTTGTTATATGGGTTCTATTGGTCAATTCTGTGAAATACAACGGCACAAACCTTTACCAGTAAAATTCAAGGAAGCCCGAACCTATCACTCAATTCCAATATCCTGAAACCAGGTATTACCCACTGCCAATGATTCATAATGGCCTTGTAGGATACAGAAGAACTGCCCCACAGGATGTTCAAGCCTATACATTTTTTTGGAAACAGATTGCTGCTTTATCCTGCAGGTGGCTGAGGGGTTTCAACAACTGACCATTAGCAGCCAAGAGCTTTGCTCACTGGGCCTCCAGGGCTCCTGATAAACTGTTAAGTGCCATCGAATTGTTTCTGAATCCTAACAACCCTGGATGGGGTTTCCCGAGGAGTGGCTTCTGGGTTTGAACCGCTGACCTTGCCATTAGCAGCCCAGAGCTTATCCTAGAGCAGCATACCGGACTCCTGATATACAGTATTGAAGCAGAAGGAAACTGGACCATGGAGTAAAAGTGGATTTGAATTCAGATCCTAGTTCCCCTGTTGCTCAGACTGTATGACTTTGAGCAAAGAAAGCAGCATATTTGGGGCAAACGTCATATAAAATATGATTGTATGATAGAGGGCTACAACAGTAAGCATGAAATTCTATCCAGCACTGAGAAAATACATGGCACACTGAATTTAGCAAGGCTGTAAAATATAAGGTCAATATATAAAAATCAATTATTTTCTAAATGCTAGCAACATAGTCACAATTTGAAGATTAATTTTTTATAATAATACTTGTTTAAGATATTAAAAAGCCCAAAATAGAGATAAATGTAAAGAAATATTTGCAAGTCCTCTGTACAGAAAACATTTTTTTTTTTTTTATCTCTCTCTCTTTTTTTGGCTTCTGTTTGCTTGATATGTTTTGTCCTTCATTTTTTTTTTTTAGTTTATTTTTATCTTTGTGTCTAAGGTGTGTCTCTTGTCGGCAAAATGTTGATGAGCCATGTTTTTGTATCTATTCTGCCATTCTCTGTCTCTTGACTGGTGCATTTAGTCCAATTACATTCAATGTAATTATTGAGAGATGTGAATTTCCTACTGTCATTTTGTGTGCTTTTGTGTGTGTGTGTGTGTGTGTGTGTGTGTGTGTGTGTGGGGGGGGGGTGTTGCGGGGCGAATTATTTTTTTGTTCCATATACTTTTCTGTGTTTTGTTCTTTTTGTTTATGGATAGTCTGATTACTTTATGATTATTTTACTATTTACTGTGAATTGAATAAAGGTTTACAGACAAGATCATTAGTCTTACATACTACAACAATCACACATTTTGTTTCATCTCAATGATTGCAATCCCCTTCATGGAACAACAGTTATTCCACTTCCTTCCTGTGGTTCCTAGTTCCATTCCACCTACTTTTCTTCCCTTCTAACCTTTGTCTTGGGTACAAGTTGCCCCTTTAATTGTGAATAATTGACCATTCAGTCATTTACAGTGAGCGTATCTTACTAACGTTGTTGTTCCCCCTATAGGCCCATCGGCTGCTTGGCTGGAAGAAGGTGCGTTCCTTTCCAGACCTGAAGTGTGATGGACAGCCACAGTCGCAGGTTCCCCCAATCTCTTTCTGAACAGTAAGCTCTTCTTCTTCCTTTTACTATCACTCTGAGTTTGTCTTCTAATGTGGTCTCATTCAAGGCAGTTGGTAGTGGTAGCTGGGCACCATCTAGTTCTTTGGGTTTCAGGGTCATGGAGACTGAGGATGGAGAATTCTTCTTATTTTTTTTTAACTTAAATAAATAAATAGAAAGATACACTATATGCCAGTACATAGATTGGAAAATTCAGTATTGAAAAGATTCCAATTTTTTTTGCAAATTGATGTGTTGATTCAATATAATTCCAATCAAAATCTCACAAAGCTATTTTTAACACAAGCTTATTTGAACATTTGTATGAAAAACAAAAAGGCCAAGATAAACCAAAGCAATTTTCAAAAAGGACAAGATTGGAGAACATCTATTACTTTATTTCAGGGCTAACACTACAATAAAACAACGCAGTATGACACTGGAATTTAGAGAGGAAAATCCTTCAGTGAAACAGGATAGTTTGGAAGTATATTCACACTCATATGTTAAATGCTGTTGAGTTGGTCCCGCCTCATAGGGACCCTGTATAGGGTTTCCAAGGAGCGGTTGGTGAGCCTGAACTGATGACTTTGTGGTTCAAACCAACCTTGCAGTCCAGCACATTAACCCACAGTGCCACACCAGGACTCCATCCACACTCATATAGCCAACTGATTTTCAACTAAAGTGCTCAAAGCAAGAATACAAGGGAAAGAAAATATTTTCAAGAAAATGTGCTGGAACAACTGGTTATGTATATGGGGGGGGGATAACTTTAATCAATATCTCAAACAAAACATAAAACTTCTTTTGAAATCCATTTCAGACCTAAATGTAGAAGGTAAAGCTATAAAGTTTCTAGAAAAAGAATACGAGAAAAAATATCTTTCTGACTTCAGAATAGGCAAAAAAAATTTTCATACACACAAAAGAGTAACTATTTTTAATGGATAAATAAAAAAAACCTTTGTTCAAGGGTTAATACAATGGGCATTCATTAGTTAGACATTGGTTACCTAAAATGGAGAGGAGGGGTTCCTAAAGGCACAAAGTGACTGGCTTACTAGGTTTCAAGATGGAGTTTAGTTTAAGAATGTGCCGGGTAAGGTAGAATGCCCCTGAATAGTTTTCATCTTGTCTAAATGGGTCTGGTGAAAAGAGATGGGGGTAAGATTCTTAGGATTCAATAGTGAGTAATTATCATGACTAATTGTAATCATTACAACTGTAAAGGTAGAAGTTTTGTAACATAAAGAGGGGAGTATTCAATCTTACATTCCAGGACCAGAGGACCCTAGGACCATGAAGGGAGAAGAGCACAAGTGGAATGTGGGGCCTTATCCAGAGAAGCAGCGACACGAGAGATGAAGGCAGAGATGAGGAAATGGAGAGAGAGAGCAACTGAGGACTCTAGATTCATGGAAGGAGAAAGGCTATGTGCTGGTGGCCAGGAGGCAGGCTTGCAGACTGTGCCCTTTGGTGGTTTAAACAATTATATATTCCTGAGTGTTTTTGTGTACATAAAAAATAAACAAAAACAACAACAGAAGGAAGAGAAGCAAATACCATTGAATGATGATGCATGGAGGGGACTGTAATCATCGCAATGAAATGAAATACAATAGGATGAGTGTAAAACTGATGTGCTCCCATGTAAACTATCAATCAATTCACAATAAAACTTAAAAACAAAACCCACAAACCTCTGCTCACATGAAGATGCTGCTAAGAAACTGAAGAGGTAGGAACTGATCTATTTTGTACCCCAGGGACTGTCTGTATATATGAAGAGCCTTCAAAAAGTTCATAGAAAGATTCCATTATCGTTCAATCCCATTGTTCCATGAACTTTATGAAGTACTCTCATATGCAGAGTGCATGCCTTTACAGAAGGTTTCCTGGAAATGTGTCCTCAGCATCCCTGCACTAATTTATCACAAGCTCTAGAGACAAGGCCCTTAATAAAACATGAAAGAGATCATTCATTAAAATCCTTGATCCTGAGGAATATGACTTGGGAAAATGTATAACGAGAGATGTCAAAGTTTTATGTATGCAGAATGAGTGTGAATTCCTAAAGAGACATTTAATATCAAACCCAAGCCACGATAAAATGCTACACTGCCCTCAGTTAATATTTTATGAGTGTGTGGGCCTTGGATCCCAACCCCTGATGTGAGTCTCTCTGATTGCAGACTGGTCAGGAGTGCTGTGATGCAAATTCAGGGACTGAAGAAAGAGCCATCAGTGACCCAGCGACCCCAATTTATGTCACTCTAATGGGCCTTTTCCAGTGGCCACGGAAGGATTGGTGCAGAGATGAGCACGCTGCCCTAGCCGCGGATGCTACAAATATGCTGCCTGCTCTTCAGCAAGTGGAAGGTACTATGGGATTCATATACATTATTTAAAGCATCTGCCAAAGTATTTTATTCAACAAATAACACAATTACATACCTTTAGGTATATGCCAAAGTGGAAGCCGAGTTATATGATTTCTAATTTTCCTTATGCTCTACATCTCTGGTTTCAAATATCTGTCCTCTGCTTCAAAGTCCCTTGGAGTAATCAGTTATTCCTTTGCTGAGCTCACTACTGGAGATAACAGTCTTGTCATTCTATAAATTGTCTCATTGAATCTCCCTAACAATCCAGGAAAGAAATCTTATGATGATTTTCTTTAATTTCCAACTGAGGAAACTGAGGCCTTACTTACCAAGGTTATAAAGTTTGAGTTGGGAGATCCCTCATGAGTTTGCTGAATTGGAACTCATTTCTTCCTACCTCCTGATAGGAGCTTATTCTACCACACAGGTCAAACCTAGCACAATCCCCCATACAATGAGAAACTTTCATCCCCACCCTGTGCACTAACCTGGGAGGGGATGCTTTGCAC